CGCATATCTGTGCATTGCAAAAAAATGTTTTAAATCAAAAACATAAAAATCATAAGCACAATATAATAAATCCCATCTAAACCCTGTGTGCTCCAATACAGAGTAGAGCCACATATCTGTGGTGATCAACACCCCTCAGATAAGATCAACAGGACTCCACCCCATCCTTACAGCCCTAGTCCTGATTTATAAAAATAATTAAATTTTAAAAACTGTGAACAGATGCAGCTCCACAAGACCATAAGAACACCATGATCACCCAATCGCTCAGCACTGGCCTTACCAGCATCGCACAGGTAAAGACTATTTATACTTCAGAGTCAAGCCTACGCAGAACTTACTCCATGGCCTGCGCCACTGTGAGCATTTATACTTGTGCGCAGTTTGTGTCGCATTTATGTGTAGTTATAGTTCTAGGGAGGTGCGCGCCAGGCTGAGGCGAAGGGGACGCGGCCGCGGCACACTGACGGCGTAGGGGACGCGGGCGCGGCACACTGACGGCGTAGGGGACGCGGGCGCGCCACACTGACGGCGTAGGGGACGCGGGCGCGCCACACTGACGGCGTAGGGGACGCGGGCGCGCCACACTGACGGCGTAGGGGACGCGGCCGAGCCATACTGACGGCGTAGGGGACGCGGCCGAGCCATACTGACGGCGTAGGGGACGCGGGCGCGGCACACTGACGGCGTAGGGGACGCGGGCGCGCCACACTGACGGCGTAGGGGACGTGGCCGCGCCACACTGACGGCGTAGGGGACGCGGCTGCGCCAGGTAAACAACTCTGGCAGCAGGGGCACAAGCGGCCTTCCATCAAAAACGGAAAATGACAGATACACAGAAACACACACAGGACAGTGTCACATCAGCAGACCGTCACAGCTTGCGTTACCAGTCAGTCACGGTCATACCCAGGGCTGCACTGTGCTGCTTATGCAATGCATGTATCTGTTTGAATATGTAGATGTGGCCTCTGGTCTGATTTTCTTTAATGAATTAAACATACTAACCTTTACCTCCCTGTATGCTGCATTTGGCTTTTCAGAGCTGAAATTTAAAACCTAGGATCTATATTGAATGGGGCGGGGGGGAGAGTCACAGCACAGCACCACAACCCCACATGGGCTGCACATAGGCCTTTACCTTTCTGACAGCACCTAACATTATCATAACGTCTACTCAGGCTGAAAAACAAAGCACTACCCCCACCTCCCATAGTGTTTGAAAACAGTTTGTGCAGCAAATTCCTTAAATCCAAAACAGCTTTCATAGCTTTCAGCTCCACACGTCCCCTATTAATAAACCCCGTTTGTCAGTGTCTTTCAGGTCCTCTGATTAAAAGATCAGCCCCTTCAGGGACTTGAAAAGGGACCCTTTTAATCCAAAGTCCATGTCCACGTGTATCTAACTGCTATCCCAATTCCAGTTATTCATTTTAAAGAATGAAGAAGGCATCTATTTACATAATTATGGAAGGCAAGGAGTGTGTCTGAGAAATAACATTAAACAGAAAAACTGCAGATGGGGGCCTAAACAGGCCACTGAGCTGAACACACAGAGAGCAAACCAGCAGCCAAACCCAACCGTGAGCGGGACGGGGACCATCCCCATCCTAAACCCAACCGTAAGCGAGGCCGGGACCATCCATCCTAAACCCAACCGTAAGCGAGGCCGGGACCATCCATCCTAAACCCAACCGTAAGCGAGGCCGGGACCTTCCCCATGCCAAACCCAACCGTGAGCGGGACGGGGACCTTCCCCATTCCAAACCCAACCGTAAGCGAGGCCGGGACCTTCCCCATGCCAAACCCAACCGTAAGCGAGGCCGGGACCATCCCCATTCCAAACCCAACCGCATCCCCATCCTAAACCCAACCGTAAGCGAGGCCGGGACCATCCCCATCCCGAACCCAACCGAAAACGGCATAGGGACATCCCTTTTTCAAAGTGGCAGCACGCAATTCAGCATCTCTGTGTGAGAAGGTCTCTGCGGAGAGCTGGGAAGTGCAGGCGGTGGAGCTGAGACAGCTGGGCTGGGAGAGCAGCACAGTTATGTAAGCGACGCAGTGGAGACAGAGCCCGGAGACACACACTGGAATATCACGGCACAGCACAGGATGGCCCGCCCAATTCCTGGCTCATCCAATCACATTCACAGCCACCGTTTCGTTCATCAGAATCAGCTTTCAAAATGCCTTCGTGACTTCTTCACATTACCTAATGACAAAAAAAAACCTGGAAAATTGCCAAAGTGCTAAAAAGAAACAAACAGATTATGCACTTTTGTGACGTGACAATGCCATAAATGAAAAGTTAAAAGAAAAGCATCAGCCTTTAGACATTTCAAATGATGCATTTAGTGAAGCCTTACCACTGACAGCATGCTTTAACACGGGCCACTGTGGTCACTTTGCTGCATCTCAAAATTGACTTTAAAACTTTTAAAATATAAATTAGAATTTTTCAGTAATGAAAGTCTACATTCCTGATACGCACTCACACAAAAATCCTGCAGTGCATTTAAATGACATTAAGCTCAATTCGCCTTTATTACACACCACATTCAAAATGAGTAAAGCAGTAAACATTTTTATTCAGTAGATGATCCAGTTGCAGGTCTGAGCTGTAATTTTCATTAAGTTTTATCCACTTCCTACAGCTTAAATGAATTATTTAAAATATGAGATTTTAAAAAGGACAGAGGGGGACAGAGGTAGAGAAAGCTCCTCTCTCCCAAAGGGCAGCTAGTATGACACACAGACTTAATCTAGGCACCATTCAGAGCGTCTAGAGAGCAGGATGCGGGGCAGGGGGCCGCCACACTGCACGTCCCCAAACGCTCACCATCTCCGGGGAAGAGCAGAGCAGGGGTCCCTGCGCAGCCCCCCTGCAGGTGTTAGGCAGAACAGCTTCACAGGTTTCAGAATGTTTATTTAAAGCAAGAAGACGGTCTACACTGTGTGTGAAGATGTGCTGTTGAAAGGACAGTCAAGAAGACCAGCTCTTTGCTCCCCTTGCCAAAAGAAATAGATTACTGGGGGGGGGGGGGGGGTCACACTCTCTTTGTTGTAAGTCATTAATTTATGCCTGCTGAATGAGGTTTAATTGTTTATCTAAAGGCAGGAAGAGCTTCCCAGACATTAATGACACTACAATGCCAGGACAGATAAAGGTCAAACTAAACTGTTTATTTCATTAATTAATTTATTTCATTAATTAATCTGCCTGCCACAAATGATGCTTTTCAGAACAGGTGACACAGATGAATAAAGACTATAAATGCCGCCAGTGACCAGGGACAGAAACAGGGGGCTGAAATCCCCTACCTACCAAAAGATGGTCCTTGTCCTCAAGGGGTGAAGGTATCCCTGGCAAGGCAGGGCACAGCAGCCCTCCCCCACCCTAACCCACAAACGTTCCGGCCTCTGAGAGGCAGTGAAACCTCACTGCTTTGCTCTCACCAAAGCACAGCGACTGCCTCCTATTAAAGTTTCGTCACAACTGCGGAAGCAGGCGCCCCCAGCCTGGGCGGAGCCCCCAGTCTCAGGGCGCCATGTTCGGGGGCAGCGGCCCAGTTCTGTCCACTGCGTCACTTTGCAAATCGTTTTATCTGTGCGGGGCACGCATGAGGGAAAGTCACAATGACACGGGGACTGATGATAACTGCACAACGCCTTGGCCACTGATCCCAGGGCCTGTACCACACACACACACACACACACACACACACACANCTAAACAAGGTAAACAAGGCCTGAGTATTCCTGCTTTCTGTTATGTTGTGCTCATTTGGTGCTGCAACACACACACACACACACACACACACACACACACACACACACACACACACACACACACACACACACACACACACACACACACACACCATAACTCAAACCCCCCTCTAGTTTCCCACTGGAGACTGAAGGTCACATGCCAGGAATCCTAGACACAGTACTGGCACACAAAAAAATTGGGGCACACTGCGGGACAGCCCCTGGCCCCCCCTGCCCCCATTCAGCCTGCAGCCAGTACAGCCGGCTGCCCTTTTTCCTACCAACCCCCGAATCATACACAATGCAGGAACATGCTGCTTAAAACAGAAAGACAAATTTGAATTGATGCTTCGAAATGAAAGCAGTTTCCATCCCCATCACACCAGTAAGTACCTTTCCCTAGCATGCTGCCTCCCAGCTTTCCCAATAGCTATACTTAGAGAGACACAGTGACTGGTTTATGCTAAGTAACTGCTAGCTCATTAACATTTCAATTAGATATCTCAGCCTTACTTGACTCACTGAAAGTTAACAGGGAGACTGAGATTTGTAATGAGCAATGAAATGTAACTTAAACAGTGAGATATGTGGAAGAATGCAGTGGTTATGCCCGACAAGTACACTTCCTTGTGACAAACCAGTAAGAATAATAATAAATAATACTACTAATAATAAAAAACATGAAATTATAAAATAAAAATAATAAATAATGACCATTAAATAATCATCATTGTCATCACAAATAATTGGTCCAATTTTCTCAGCACCAAGAGGCTGCATGAAAAGTACTGAATCTTTTAAGGATGTAAATGTTTAAAATCACAGCCCTACAGGGGAAGGTCACTGAACTGGGAGCCTCAGAAGCGGGAAACACAGTGAAACTGCGTTTCTCACCCTATTATCCGATCTCTCCGCTGACAGCACACAAGACCTGCTACACTTTCCATGAGATAATTCGTGAGATGAGGGTTAATGAATCTAGAGATGATAGTGCTAGTACCTATTATTTTTAAAAACTAGGTGAGGAGGCACCTCACAGAGGCTGGAGTGTAGCTTCAGTGACCTGATAGGCAGCAGCTAAGATGTGTCACTACTAAAAGACGACCCTGGACCACGAGGACCGGGCATTGACCCAGCGGCCAGATATGCTCTACAGCTTTCTGCACGGTTTAGTGACTAAGAGACACCCACTGGCCCCACGGACGCCGGCCGGACCCAAACCCTACCTATACTTCATGCCCGTCCTCATGCTCTGGTCGCTGGAGGAGGGGACGGTCTGCACCGAAAGCTGACCCAGGCTGCGGGCCACCATGGCCACGGTGCGGAACTTGCTGCGTGTGCCCGTGCCGGGGCTGTTGGCGTTCTGCCGATTGAGCCGGTCCTCGGTGCTGCGGCTTACGCCCCGATGATCCGTACAAACGAAGGAGACCTGCATGCTGACCCGGGTGACCCTCACTCAGCGGGTGCAGGAGTTGCACCAGCCCACCCGGGGGGTGGCTGGAGGCAGAGCAGGGAGACCCGATTCTCACAGAGAGGCTCCTCTATGCAGAGCCCAGAATGAGGTGTCCCAGTCCTCCTCCGCAAGTGTGCCGGTTCAAACGCTCCCGTTTCCAAACTGTGCCAGACCCAGAGAGGAGGCAGCGGTGGAGTCAGGTGGAGAATTCTGACCGGCACAAACGCGCATCCCCTGAAGGGGGCAGGGTCAGGTCTCCTCCCCCAGTACCAGCCCCAAGACCCTGACGTTTTCTGGGTGGACGGCCACACTAACACTCCAGGGCGGACACACACACACGATGCCACACACACGCGCAATTTTCCGGCACCTCTCAGGAAGATGGGCTCATTTTACCATTCTTTTCTTCTTCTGCCCAAACCACGAAAGGAAAGTGAATTTCTCTCCGATTAGAATCCGGGATTCCAGTCGGTGTCCAGTCACTATTAAAGCCGACAGATTCGGCAAACGCCAACTTATAACTGAATAATCCAAATGTCAGACTGACCAGTTCCGTTCAAACGGCAGATCGGTAAATACGGAGGTAGCTAGAAAGAGAAGCTCAGGAAGCTGTGGGGAACCAGCATGTCCAATAGCACCGGCAGTTGCACACAAGTTCAGCAGAGGCTTCCTTTTGTTCTGTCGAACATAAATGTCTTCGTTCATCAGGAGAAAGTCCGTACACGCAGACACACACACACACACACACACACACACTTGCTGGCACGGACCCGCTTTCCACGGATTAAACTTGCATGTATCAGGCAAGATAGAGAGGCAGTGAGAGACCAAAGGAGAGAGAGAGAGAGAGAGAGAGAGAGAGAGAGAGAGAGAGAGAGAGAGAGAGAAGAGAGCGTGTGGGAGAGCAGGAGGGAAGGACAAAGCCTGCTGACACCAGGGGAGAGAGGGAGAAGCTCCAGGTGGTGTCCATGGCCGCAGTCGCCAGGGTGCCCAGCGTGCTTGAGAGGGCTCCTCCAGTCACCGGCACCTACTGCCGCAGCTAAGCTCTTGTCCAGTTGGGCAAAAATATCTTACGTAAGCCATTTGCCTTGATGTGGCGGGCAAGCCGTCTGCGTCTCTCCATCCTCTCCCGCCGTTTCCTCCGCACGCAAGAAATACAAGGATCGCACTCGCCATGGCAACCGTCAGTTTCTCCACATTACTTTTTATTAGCAGAAGACGCACGGCACACGCACGTTAGAAATAACCACACAGTGAAAACTGTCCAGCCGCTTATCCTGGTCATGATCACCTGGAGGCCATCCCAGGCAGCATAAGGCACAAGGCTGAGGTGAGGCCAGGATGGGAGGCCGGCCCATCGCAGGATGCATACACAGTCATACTTCTACAAGCACCAGTTAGCCTAATGAGATGTCTTTGGACTGCGGGGGGATTATACATCTGGATTATAGGAGGAAAACCCTGCAGGACATGAGAGAGCATGCAAATTTCACATATAGATTCAGAAGCACACATGTACATACATGCACCTGATTAAGGATTTGAACCCATAACTGTGCTACCCACTGAGTCACCCCCACAGCTACATCGTCACCGTTTAGGAAATACATACTTTCCCAAAGAAAAATGTGACCTGTACTGATCTGTGGCGCTGAAACACTGAAACACAGGCTGTGTGTGCAGAGTTCATAAGATCCCTACCCAAAAAAAAAGAAAAGAAAAGAAAAGAAAAAAAAAAACGTGTCCAGAAACGTGCCCAGTACCCAATTAGAAATAGCGACTCCACCGGCTTTGACAGTAGCCAAAAAAAGGAAGATACACAGCGGATAATTGGGCCAGGAGGTGGACCAGTCAGGAGACATAGCTGAGGGTTAGGCCGCTGGTCAGTGCAAGGCTGACTGCAGATGCATCAGAAGAAGGGAGTGCCCTCTCACAGTGAACGCATGCAAACTCCTGGGATGTCCTGATCCAGGGGCAGTTACAGAGGAATGCTTAGGGGTTAGGAGTCTTTCCTAGGCAGGGCTGATGGCAAATTATTCACGATTAAGCCAATAAATAAGCGCTAAAGCCCCCCTAAAATAGGCCTAACGACACCCTTGTCCAGACCCCCTATTTTGGTACCCTGATCTGATCCATTCAATATTTGTATCTGCCAATTCCCAGTCCTGATCCAATCTTTTAATAAATATTTAATGAAACACACACATACAGTAGGCATTAGTGCATTCTTCATCTGATTTTGCGGTATTTTTCCTTATGATGTTTTTGCAAGTTGTATTAAAATAAGCTCTATGGCTGCCTTCTCTTGAAAGGACAGCAGTGTAAACATTGCAGGTAGCTGTTGGGCTACTTTCAGTTTCCAATTTAAAAAATTTCTGCATGGCTGACATCTCGATAGATAGTAGTTCCAAGCAATGCTCCTCAGGCTTATTGCACAACTGACGTAAATTAAGCGGACACGGGAAATGAAACAGATCGGGCCTTTGTTCAGGCTCTGGTAGCCAATACAGATCGATTAAAAAGGCCTGGTTAGGCCCGGATTCCGATCACCGTTATCTGATACATGTGGATCCCACAACGTGATATATACAAACACACCACTCTTATGTACACTTTAAAAATGAATAAATAAATAATAAACAAAGCAATAGCAGGCATACTGATGTAAAAATACAGTGAGGCGCCAGTGAGGTGCACTGCCACAGTGCTTGAGGGATTGCGGAGCGCCAGCACAGAGAACCCGGAGAACAGGGTCACTGGTGCTGGAGGTTGCTATGTAATAGATCCAGCCCAGCCACTTGAAGCCTGCAAGCCTTAACTGCCCCCTTGCTAAGGCTATTGTTTTAGTGCCATCTGCTATCAGAGCTGGGGGGGGGGGGCTGAGGCACTGCAGCACAGTCAGCGTGTGTTTTGCAGGGAAATCACTTCTGGGTGGAGACCGCAGCACTCAGGCAACGTCTCAGATCACCACACGCATCAACCCAATTCCCCAACTCCCACCTGGTTTGGCTAATTTTAAACTGTATTACGCACCATGAATAAACGAACAAAAAAAAATGCATTTTAAAGATAAATCCGCTCCCCTCAAGTGTATTAATGCTGACGACAAGCTGACATAAGGAAATGCTATGCCCCCCCCCCCTCACCTCCCAAGAACAGGCATCTGTTTATCCAAAGAGGAAATCCCTGGCACACCATGGACAGACAGACAGACAGACAGAGACAGACAGCAGACAGACAGACAGAGAGAGAGACAGAGAAACAGACAGACAGAGAGAGAGACAGAGACACAGACAGAGAGAGAGACACAGACAGACAGAGGGACAGAGAGAGAGAGAGACAGACAGACACACACACACACACACACACACACAGATAAGGGCGTGAGGGCCGCAGGTAATGGACGGGATTACAAAAAAGGAACTCCAGGGCACACAGGCACACGCACACTGACAGCTGCACTCCCAGAGCAGACGCTGACTCAGCCCCCTGAGTTCTGATGGGCTAATATGACAAATGACAGGCAATTCATTGAGACAGACACTATAGCTGCTCGGAGAGTCTAAAGAGCTGGAAAATACAGCAGTTCAAGTGGGCAAAACAAAAGCTGAAGACCACATTAACATTACAGACAAAGTTCCCCAGCGACAGACAAATATCTACAAGTATTTAAAAATCAGTTAAACCCTTCATCCAGTTCTTTTGGCTCATTACAAAGTAAAAAAACATTGATGTAACACGAACTAATGTACTTTCAAAATGTCATATTCAGAAAACACAGGACAATTTAAGAGCATTATCCTTTTTTACTGAGGTGCTAATGACTGATACAATAAGCAAGTAACCATATATTCTTTTTCTATTCATAAGAGAAATTAGAATAAAGAACACCAGAGTAAGCTGGTTTGAGTCCCAAAAGGATTACGTCAGAAATACCACAAAAAGTTAATGATGTTACATTACATGGGGCATTGAACTGTTATGCGTCCGATGAGTGATGCTTCAGTGTACCACAATGAGTGATGCTTAAATTTCATAAGATGCTGAAACTTGCACATACTAGAACAAGCCAGCCCTGCGGCCAATACCAGTATGGTGACCAACTCATCATGAGACGGTGGGTGGAAGTTTACACGGACATGCGTGGCGGCAGAAAAGTTCCGAGGGGGAAGTGGGGGTGTGGGTTAGGGATTACTGGGGTTATGCAAGGGTGGGACAAAATCAGGGGACAGCAGCTCACGGCCAATCATATGGAGAGTTTATTACAAACAAGCTACATTGCATTTCAGTCACCTTAATCATAAACCCGACATTACGATTCTTCATGAAACAGATAAGAGGCCTTCCATAGGAGTTCCAATTTCAATTTAGATGCATCCCCAAAAATGAGCAGCCCATCCTGATAGCTGAGGAAATTAAAAAAAAGGGGGGGGGGGGGGGGGCGGCTTATGACATGGGATCTTCCTGAGTTGCAGGGACCTCGGACTGCTATCCTCTTTCTGCCGTCTTAGCGGGTGCCATGACGACGGCTCGATTCTGAATATACACGCGGTGCTAACAGCCCTGGCCTTTAATAATTTAATGGAACAGAGCAAAAACCATCAGGGCTTCACAAGCAACTGGAGATGGAGGAAGGCTGAGCTCCAGCTCACTCTGTAAAGACAGACGGACCGACAGATGGGAACCGACTTTGGGGTGGGAGTAGAGAACAATCGAACGCAGTGCTTTTACCAAGTTACCATTAAGGCAGATGTTGGATCAGACATTTCTGGCCAGCAGAGCTCTCGTTATTCTTACTGGGCTGCTGATCAGTGCTGCGTCACAGCGGTCAGGCACTTCAGATCATCTACTGGCTGACTGTTCAGGTTGAACCATGAAAACCCGACTGGACAGAGAGGGGAGATGAGGAAGCGTCTCAGCCAGCAGCAGAACATGAGATTTACAGCCGTTTTGCACCATTGGCCAGATCAGCAATGCAACATTAATGAGTGTGTAGCAGCTGTTAAATGGGCAGCCCTGCGCTCACCCCTGGGTTATGAGAGAAGCAACGCTTGGCATGGGCGGATTACCTTTCAGCCTTCGCGGTCTTCCTTCAGCGTGGACTACAGGGTGCGTCGGGTGTATTAGCGCAGAGGGAAAATCGCAGGCTCATCTGTGCAAGCTCAGCGATAACTGCCAGTCATTTCAAAGTCCCTCATTAGTGCACAAGATTAAGCGTTCACCAGTGTGAGAGGGACGACAATGAACAACTCAAGCAACAGGAGTTAATTCCACCAATTCATCAAAGTTAAATAATAATAGTAATTAAACAGTTGACAACAGAACATGTGTGTTATAAAACCTGAGAAAGGACCAGCGCCTATAGATTTCAAGTCCTTAACTTCTTGAGAAAGTTAGGCAGTAAAAGCAAAAAGGCTGACTGCGTGATCTTGGGTCCCTGGGTAGGGTCTTCCATAGTTAGCAAAAGCCTATACTGTTTATTTATGCATCAGTCAAATTCCGCCTGGGGCATGCTCCCGCAGAAACACACCCTGCCCTCGCATTGCAGGGTATTATGGGCTGGCTATCGGCGCTCTGACAGTGGCCAGCCTCCTCAGCGTTGTTGTTCCCCAGGAAAGCCATCCACTGGCTGAATAAGCACCACGAACAGCAAACAGGCACAATGAGTGCTGAGTGGAAGAGAACCACCTTTGCCTTCCAGGATGTGCAAACACATGTTATGCCGGTCCACGCAGATCAGGAATCTCAGCACGGCCAGGGGGGAGAAAAACCAGCAACGCTGCATCTCAAAGTGGGGACTTATTAGAACTCACTTCGTGTGA